AATAACATTTCCTAATTATTATTAATCTTTATATATTCCAAAGATTAACATTTTCCCCTTCAAAAACATAATTAGGGTGTATTCTTTTGTGAGAAAGAATATGAGAGAGTAATTAAATGAATTTAAAGGTAAAGTTTTTGTTATTCTTTTAAAAGATCTAGGATTGAAAGTGAAGAAATTTAAAGTTTTTGAAAGAATTAATGGATGTGAGAGAATAAAAGAAATATTTTAATAGAATAAAATATAATAATACTATTTTGCCACTATAATTAAAATTAGTATTATATATATATAATTAGAGACATTTTTTTGAAACATATTGACACTCGTAAATATCTTCCCTTAAGCGAGTTTGCATATTTCCATGATCTTGCAAATCCGCGTTTTTTCTCACTTCTAATTACTTGAATAAGAACACAAAATTTACTCACATATCCATGATGATTGCTAATAACTGGAAATCTGTATAAGGAACATCGTGTTAAGAAAAAACTTACTTATAACATGTTACAAAAACATAAAGAGATACAAGGTTCACGATGTTAAGTGTTTGAATGTAAGTAAAAAAATATTATCTAGAAGAATTAATTATTTTAAATTCCCAAACAAAAATGATTTTAGGAAAACAAAGTCATACGTGAAATTCACAAAAATTGGGTTGTATTATGAATATACTTCGTTAGATTCTCAAAATTGTTTTACATAAATTTTTTATTAATGGTCAAAAAGAGATTTACTATACAAACTTTAATTTCGTTAAATATATTTTATTAATGATTGAAATAATTAAATAGATATTGTAACATCCAAAAAATATAATAATGTACTATATAAAATAGTCATCACAAATCCAATATTAACGAAAATAGTTAACAAATATAGGAAAATAAGGTAAGATTTACAACTATCACAAAATAACTATAAAAGTCCACTTTATTTACAAACTGGTGATAACAAAACTATACTCAAGATAACCATCCAAGGATGCTACACGTGAGTTGCTCCTCCATCTAATGATTGCTCAATAGAGACTTTATCACCCTCTACTCATACCTATCGGATGATCATTGCCAAGAAGAGAAACAAAGAACATACAACAAGATCACAAACAAAAGGGTAAGCTAGATATTAAAACAATTCATACAATATTCTAATATATCAAACACTCCATAAGTACATCACATATAATAAACAACTCAAAGAAACATCCTAAATATGCCAAGACTTAGACTGGACTGTCCGGACTTAGAATGATTGTCAAGATATGGTAGGTTGTGCACTTGTGGTGGCCTCTACTGTTTTGCAAAGCCATTACCAATGGGTTTCACCCTACCATACTCACAAGGTTAGTATGTTCCATGCCTTGGATCATACTGGAAGCACCCAACACTAAGACCTCCTACTACTCTTACCATATGTGTCAGTCTGCTTTACTTGAGAATGAAAAACCATTAGAGTTTAAGGATAACACCCAAGACTGAGCTCCCTGCATTCATTCTAAAGATACTTGAACCACACCAAGAAGTTCCACCTTGGAACTAACTTTCATAACTTTGAAACCATACTTATATCCATATACTTTCACATTGAATTCCAACCAATAATATTACTGACCCTATCATACCATAGAAACTTTTGCACTATTCCAAATATAAAAACATATCTCAACGTTATCAGAAAACAAAGATAGAAAGAATAAAAACAGGTTCTAGACTAGTCGTTCAATGCACCAAGCTCGTTGAGCACCATAGAAACAGTGAAACGAGCTCCCTCGCCTCTTGCTCAGCGACTAGTCTCGTTGTGCGAACACGGAGACAATGAGCTAAGCTCTCTCACCTCTCGCTTAGCGACTAGTCTCGCTGTGCGAATATAGAGATAATGACCTAAGCTCCTTCATCACTCGCTCAACGACTAGTCTCGTTGTGCGAACACAGAGACAATGAGCTAAGCTCCCTCATATCTCGCTCAACGACTAGTTTCGTTGTGCGAACACANAAGCACCCAACACTAAGACCTCCTACTACTCTTACCATATGTGTCAGTCTGCTTTACTTGAGAATGAAAAACCATTAGAGTTTAAGGATAACACCCAAGACTGAGCTCCCTGCATTCATTCTAAAGATACTTGAACCACACCAAGAAGTTCCACCTTGGAACTAACTTTCATAACTTTGAAACCATACTTATATCCATATACTTTCACATTGAATTCCAACCAATAATATTACTGACCCTATCATACCATAGAAACTTTTGCACTATTCCAAATATAAAAACATATCTCAACGTTATCAGAAAACAAAGATAGAAAGAATAAAAACAGGTTCTAGACTAGTCGTTCAATGCACCAAGCTCGTTGAGCACCATAGAAACAGTGAAACGAGCTCCCTCGCCTCTTGCTCAGCGACTAGTCTCGTTGTGCGAACACGGAGACAATGAGCTAAGCTCTCTCACCTCTCGCTTAGCGACTAGTCTCGCTGTGCGAATATAGAGATAATGACCTAAGCTCCTTCATCACTCGCTCAACGACTAGTCTCGTTGTGCGAACACAGAGACAATGAGCTAAGCTCCCTCATATCTCGCTCAACGACTAGTTTCGTTGTGCGAACACAGAGACAGTGAGTTAAGCTCCCTCATCTCTCGCTCAACGACTAGTCTCGTTGTGCGAACACAGAGACAGTGAGCTAAGATCCCTCACCTCTCGCTTAGTGACTAGTCTCGCTCAACGAAACTGTATAATTCTATAACACTAAAACTGTAGAATTTGCATCCCTAACCACTCATAGCCTATTTTGTATATCTTTTCCAACTTCTAACAGTCCTAGATCGTACTCTAGACCCAAAAGTACCTAAAAAAATGTATCTACACTGCCTTAAACACATTTTAAACTCATTAACCACCATATTTTAATCCAAAATCTATCAAAACCTCACTTTAGAGACTCAAATTGAATTCCACCAGCTATGACTTATTTTCAAACAAGTTAAGGACTCCAACAAGTCCCAAATGACTTACTAACACTCCCCAAAATGACCATTTAAGCAGAAAACCCATAATTTAGATTCTCACTAGTCCAAACCCTCTTAAATTAGTTATAAACCATGCTAAACTCTGCCTACCCATCACCAAACACTCTTACTTTAGATTTCCTCCATTTTAATACTTAAACAAGTCATGAAACATCCCAGACCCTAATTGTCTCAAATAAGTTTACTATCTCTCTCTCACCGTTTCATTACCTAAGACCTCCTTTTTCCTTCAAAACACTTCTAAACTTCAATTATAAACTTCACTTTCAATATAGCTCAGATTTTAAATCCCCAATATACCCAACAAGTCTCAATCTATCTCAGGATAGTACCTTAGCAATAGTTCACTCTCAAAAGCCTCTATTTCTCAAATTCACTCATGCAAGCCCCTCTTCGTAGACTTAAAAACTCAAATATGTAACCATTTCTCATCACAACCACATTGAATTTAGTACCTAATAACAACACAACTTCATCAACCACATTCACAATAGTATAACAAATCAAAATCACACAATTACAACTACACTCAACATCATACCATCCAAATTAACAATTAAGCACACTTATAAAACACCCAATCATAGAAAATTCTTCAAAATCAACAACAATTCATAGAAATACCAGATTAGTAATATAACCATAACTAAAGTAAGAATTCTAGCTTTCCTTACCTTAGAAAACCCTTACAGCTCCAAAATCCCCAACCATTGTGTGCACCGCAAAAAACTTATAGAAAAACCTACATATCATCGATTGGTGATTAGAGACAAATCTTAGAACCTCAATTGAACCAAGAATCAAAGAAGAGAAGTTCTTGACACATACAAAACAAATTCTCTTTGCATTATCATGAACCGACAAAATACCAAAGAAAATAGTACAAACTTACTTGCTTTAAACAACGAATTGATCGGGTAGATAGGTAGACCTTGACGCTGTGATCGTCTAGGCATCTCCTAATCGTCAAATAGATGATAGAGGAGTTAGAAAACTTAGATAAATGTGAGAGGAAGCAACGAGAATGAGTTCTAGAGAAAAATAGAGTGTGTTTTAAGTAATGAGACGAATTTAGAAAATTTTATTTATATTATGAAATTATCTTATAATAAAGTACTCAATCTCATTATTTTATTACATCTGCCCACTCTTCTAGGTTCTTATATATAGTAATGGATAAACATATATAATTATATATATGGATAAACATATATAATTATATATAAAGAGATACATCATTTTGGTGTTTTATTTAGTTTTTTCAATTTAATCTTCTTAATAATTATTTTTAAAATTTATAATAGAAAATTATTTTTAAGTTTTATTATTTTAATAATTTTTTTAATTCAAATAATTATTCGTTATAAATAAAAGAATTATTTATTCTTTTATCATTTTATTAACTATTTTTTAAAATTTAAATAATTACTCATAATAAAGAAATTATTTACATAATATCATTTATAATATTTTTTATTTTAATACAGGAATTTATATTATCTATAATTTTATATCTCTAAATATATATTTTTTATTTTTTTCCAATTTTACCATTTTAATTATTATTTTTAAAATTTAGATAATTTATAAATATTTAAAATTTGTGTATACATAACGTATGTGTCTACGCTAGTATTTATTAAAATAAATTTAACATTTATAATCAATATTAATAGAATTAAGAAAGTTAATCCAATTTAATAATAACGTTACATTATTTTACATAATTCATGTATGCGAATTATAAATATAAGTTGTTATGACATTTGTTTCATTTACTTCATAAAACATGAAAATTCTGAAAACAATTTCTAATGTAACGTTTATCTCTATAATAAATAAATAATTAGAATAGTATTTGACATAGACTTTTTGGTCATAAGAAGTAGTATGTTCCATTTCTTTTTTAATTTATTTAATGAATTAAAGAAAAGAAAGTGATTTGAAAAAGAAATAAAAATAAAAACCCGTATATGTGTGATTGATGAGATCAAGATTTGGATTCGTTTCGTACTCTGGAAAAATGAGTCAAAAAAAACTCTGAAACGAAATTCACATGTTGTTGAAATTGAAGGATAAAGAAACACAGGAAGAAGAGGAAGAAGAAGAAGAAGAAAAAGAGTTGTGTGAATAAAGGGGTGAATTAGGTTTGTGATCGATTGATTGATCGAAGAGAGAAGAGATAGGGAAATGGGGGATCAAGTTGAGGGAACGGTTCAGAACATTCTGGATCAGGATACTCTGAAGTGGGTCTTCGTCGGTGGCAAAGGCGGCGTTGGTAAAACGACATGCAGTTCGATTATCTCCATTCTCCTTGCAACCGTTCGCTCTTCCGTCCTCATCATCTCCACCGACCCTGCTCATAATCTCAGTGACGCATTTCAGCAGCGTTTCACCAAAATCCCCACTCTCGTCAATGGCTTCTCCAACCTTTATGCCATGGTGATTAATCCCCCTTTTACCTTGGGATGTCTTTTTTTTTTTTCTTGTTCAATTGCTTTATCTTATTTATGTATGTATGTTGGGATTTTGGTGTAGGAGGTGGATCCTACCGTTGATCATGAGGATATGGGTGGCGCTGATGGGATGGACAGTTTGTTCTCCGAACTAGCCGGCGCTATTCCCGGAATTGATGAGGCCATGAGCTTTGCTGAGATGTTGAAGTAAGAATCTTGTGGCACTTCAATCTTGCTGAACTTGGTTTTGATACCTGTGTGTATTGTTTGTGACAGGATAAGTAGAGTGATTTAGGTTTTAGGCGTGTGTGCTTAATGTTTGGGAAAGGATTAGTGGTTGATTTAGGTTTGTTTGAGAGGAAGAGGAGTGATAGTTGATTTTGGATTGGTGGCTCCCTGGTTGTATTTAGTCTTTAAGAACTTGCTTGTTATGAAAATTTTCGGAAAGAAAAACTATCAACAGACACCACTACCCTAATTAATGTCGAGGAGTTGATAGAGAAAGAATTAGAGAGAAGTGTAGATGTGATAGAGGTATGATGTTGTGATAGAAAGAGATGAATAGAGAAAAGTTTTAAGTGTTGATGGAGTGTATGATATGAAGGTCGACAAATATTATTACTCTTTCGGAAAACCTTAGGGAAACAGTTATTGAGATTTTAATCCGGAACATAGGTGCTCTTGTAAAAGGTAAATAGATCTCTAGGTTGGGTTATCTACTTTTACGTGATTGACACAATTCATGTGTGCTCATAATTTCTTACAAGAATCTTCTTATAAGTTTGATACCTGTCATTGCAATGGCCTCTTTGGTTGTTGACACTGCCCGTGACATAATAAGTTTCCTGATTGAGATCGTAGTTCTTTATCTGTTTCCTGGAATCTTTAAAAGTGACACGCCAAAGGAAACATGTAAAAACTTTGGGATATTGATTTTTCACTTTTTTGATCATTTAAATTTGTGGTGATTAGTTCAGGGAGCAGAAGATTCTTTTTGTTACCCCACAGCCCATTACGAGGAGCCTTTAGACCATCATCGAGATTTTTACTTGGTATTTTATAAGTAAAGTTCATTGGGTTTGTTGGAAGGACTGGGGACAAAACAGGTCATGGAGGATGGTAATGCTCTGGTTCCATATTGAGTAGAGAGAAACTGGAAAGGAGTATAGTGAATTTTGTGTCTTGTGTACGCATAGTATAATTAATTATAATGAAGAAGATATATAGGAATAAGGAACAAAATCGATATATTGTTTAATGGGAAATATTTGGTAAGATATGTCCCTATTAAATCATATCATATCTCCCTGTTAAATGTAATCAAATTAACAGTTTTGGTAAGTGTCAATTTTGTATATATTCACACCCAAGGAACTGGGTGGATGGAATGAGGGTGTTAGTGGCAATAATAGTATAGGTATGCAGTGAGGGGATGACAATAGTTTCTCGCATCCTAAAAAATGACTTGAATTGAATATTAGAAGGCTGGAAATCCTAATATAAATCTTACATCACATTAAATAATGTAGCTACGAAAATTCCTATTGTAGGTTCCTTAAAATCCTGTCTTGTTGTAGCAAGTGCTGAGTTCTTACTGACTCATGTAAAATATTAAAACTGCAGTATTCTGTAGGTATATGGTTAATGAGAGGGGAGTACTCCTATTGCAGGTATTCTGCCTTCATAATTCTAAGGTCAAAACGAACATAAAAGTATGACTGTTGATTTTATACAAGAAAAGACAGAACCTTTTTGCTTTTAAAACAAGCCATATCTATGTCAATTTTAGTTACAAATGAATCAATATGCTGTAATATCAAAATCTAAAGTTGGATGCATAATTTTTATCCACAATAAGCTATGTGAATTTTTATTTTTTTGTTGATTTGCAAATCATTATTAACGGTGCGTGATTTAATCAAGAAACCTGTTAAGCAAGCTTGTGGTGCTTATATTTCTTTATCTTTCTTTGAATTGTCACTTTTCAACTTAATATTTTCATGTTATTTATTGTGTGTTTTGCTGTATAATTATTTTGCAGATTGGTCCAGACCATGGATTATTCTGTTATTGTATTTGATACTGCTCCCACTGGTCATACGCTCAGACTGTTGCAATTCCCAACAGTTTTAGAAAAGGGTCTTGCAAAAGTAATGTCTTTGAAAAATAAATTCGGTGGTTTGTTTAATCAGGTATGAACTTAAGAATAAAGTCTTTTGCATCACGTCATATTTTCTTTCTACTTTAATGTTTTACTCGGCTTAGTTTCAGTATTTAGATAGACTATAATATTCAAATATAATTTTAACGTACCGTGTTTCCTCATAGTAGATCTGGGATCAGTGCAATATAACATCTTTTTTTTTTTTTTTAAATTTACATAGAAGACTTATTTAATATAAGATCTTGATACCACTCCGTCCACACCAGTTCCCTCTTAATTAGACGGTTAGCATAAACAGATCCTCATTTAATTTGGAAATGTAAATCTTACTGTTTCATTTTCAACTTCAATCACCTCATTCAATTCCTTGATGTATTTCTTTCCTCCCAGATGCGTCATTCCATAGCAAAATGATGCTTTCTGGTCTTGTACAGCGATCCTACTCTAACTTTTTTGTCTTTCTTTGCACTACAATTCAGGATGGAAAATGTGGATGTCTGTTGTCCATTGTTATAGAACTGAATCACAGGAGACCTCTTTGATGTTCTAAAAAACTACTGATCAGTCTCCTTGCCATTGTTACTTTCACCATATTCAATTAAACAATTATCATTTGACGCCTTCAGAACAGTGGTATCGATGGTGGAGGCCAAAGTTCCCCATACAAACACTTGCCACAGCCTATGGAATTGTCGATACTAATTTGCACATTTAATAGTTCAGATAGTTTATGAATACAAAACGAATTGTTTCTATTACTTGTGGACAGCATAATCTTTTTCTTTTTGATGATTTTTGGATAGCTTCTATCCCTAATTATAAATTATAGTGCATGACTTGCAGAGTGAGAGAGTGAAACATTCTCTCCATTCTCTCAATTAGACACTTTCAATGTTTTCTCTCTTCTCTCGTTTGGATGTATATTTCACACTTCTACAGATAGTAGGGTAATTTCAATATACCATAATAACCATCTTTTTTATCTTTTTTTGTACACTTTCTCTTAACCACCACTTTCAATTTAAATAGTTTACTTAAATATAAATATAAAATATTTATCATAGAATTTGTATATAATATGATTTATCTCAAAATTAGAAGAAAATGATTTCTCTCTTATCCAGTCTCAGTATGTACATGTCATATATATACGTACATTGACTGGATAATTTAGGAAACAAGCAGTCTGATCTAGGGAACAAAATTCCCTGATTTTGTGGGATTGATATGCTAGTAATAAAACCAAGATACAACTAATATACAGAATTAGAACCAATTGGAATTAAATTTGAAACTTTCTAAAATATCTTGACAGAAGAAAATCTAAAAGTTCCTAAAATATCTGAACAATTTATATATTAAAAAATGCATATTATGAATTTTAATTTTAGAAAATCAATATCTATTCTGGGAAACAGGCTATAGTACTACTTTATATTATTTCTGTAGCATAGATATGTCTGTATCCAACTTGGAAGAAGCTTCTATGATATACCCATGAGACTGTTGTGTTTAATAATCTTTTGTGTAATTGGAATCCCTTTTGAACTTTGACCACAGATGACTCGTATGTTTGGCATGGGTGAGGATTTTGGAGATGATGCAATTCTTGGGAGGCTTGAAGGCATGAAGGATGTAATTGAACAAGTTAATAAGCAATTCAAAGATCCGGTAAGAATTACATTAAATTTCTGTATGGTATTGTTTTAAAGATGTGAATTTCTTGTTTATTTGTCTTGTACTCTTGCTGCTGAATAAACTTTAATTTTTATTTATTTTTCATAACCTTAGTTAAAGGAGCTGGATCAGAAAATGAATGAAGACAGATTCTTTATTGCTTGCATATAAACTAAATTACCAGTTAATGAGCCCTGCACTCTCCACAACAATAACCAATGCCCCTTCCTTATCGGATTGGATTGGATGTCTCTCATCATCTAGAGAATCTCAATTAATAAGAATCCATAACACTACACAAGGAAACTTTGCCAATAGCTGTGCAAGGATATTGTCTAATATATGACTAATTTAAAGATATTTAACACTGTCAGATAATAAAATAAAGGATTAAACATGTTATTAGTCTTTGAACTTACATGCAAACTTGGAATTTGTTTTTCTCGAAAAGTTCTTATAAAATTCATCCTTATACTTTAGTGATGCATGGAATACATCTTCATTGAATGTTGTTAACTGGATTAAAAGGTTTGCACATGTGGCTATCACGTGTGATTTTATAAAAGTAAAAATTCTTATTTTTCTTTTGTCTTGTTATTCTTTTCTGTTACATTTTTTTCTATTTTTTGTTTCCCTCCTTCATCTTCTTCTATGCGGCCCTAAACCCCAACATTAACGGTCTCATCGCTGCAGCTCCTCCATCCAACCAGACCCACCAGCGGTGATGCTAGCACATTTGGGGCCCTCGCCGCAGGCATTGGACATGTTAGCCATTGTCTAACCCTTTAATTAGTGTGTGCCATTGTCAAACCCTAGCTTCTCACATCGACGCGTTGCATGATCTCTTGATTCGGTGAACATAGTCATGATTTCACTGCAATCCACACCTCTATACTTGCGAGTTTGCATGTTTACTCTGGATTTCTGTCACAATTATTCCTGTGTCCCTCCCTCATATTCCTCCTGATGTTGGCTCTCTTAATGTGTGGTCAATTTTCTATAGCATTAAGTGTTGTTTGTATATTCATGAGAGAATTTAACCTTGTAATTCTTAGAAACTATGGTTAGTTAGGAGCTAATAATGGGTGAAAGTTGAAGTAGCACATTGCTGGTAGCGCAAATCATGTCTTGACATGTTAATGTGAAAACAGAATGACATTAATATTTTACTTTTAATGGAATACTATATTTACTATTCACACTAAGACTGCTGATTTTCTTTTGCAGAAACTATATTTTATTAAAGGAGATGCTCTGTTGTGGAGCTTATTAAACTTCTATTCATGAACCATATTCTTTATGCTTATTTATTGAAAGGAGAATGTTGAGTTTGATTTAAAAATTAGGATTATGCTAGTATTTGAATTTTGTAGTAGACTTTAGCTCTATATATATGACTTTATTCGTGGACAATGTATATAGAGCTCAAGTCTATATAAATTCCAAATATGAACATTATCGTAATTTTAAAATCAAACTCATGGTGTTCTAAATAAAAAGTGATAAGGATAAGATCCTTATACTTGAGATTTGAAACTGTTAAAATATATTTTTAGAGAGGTTGATTGATCCCTCTCATAATCTTCTTATAAGAATAAATTAATACAACAGTACATGATATTTAGGGTAACCCTAAATATTCTAACAATGATAAACAGGGTAAATATTCTAACACTTCCCCTCAAGCTGCAACATACAAATTGTATATACCAAGCTTGGAACAAATAAACTCAATCCAACAAAATCAACTTGTCTCGAATGAGATAATAGACATGGTAACTTTGGCTTAGAACAAGATGCACATATACTTCAGATTAGACCATCGAGAGAGAATGTCTATAAACCAAATTGGATTGACAAACCAGCGTAGCCAAAGAGACTCCTCCTGAGATATATGATCCGTCTTCAAGAATGTGTGACAACCAGATGACAATGGTCAGTGGATAGCAAAAGTGCAAACATAAGTCAACGAACAACTCACAACAATTGGACAGTGGTAGCGAAACTTCAACTAGCACCATGAAACTTCAAGTAGAATGACTTTGACAAAGGAGATTTCCATCAAGAGTGGATGACGGCCAACAAACAAACTAAAGGGATTGGATTGCCATCAAGTAAGGATGGGGCCTGTAGTGGCTAAAAGAGACAAAACTACAGGGATTGCCATCACTATTGATGGGCTTGTAGTGGCTGAAAGCGGCAAAACTGTAAGGACCGCCATCATTGACGGATGGGGTGATGGGGTCTGCAGTGGTTGGAAGTATACTCCCCCTCACGGCAAACAGCGGAAATGACAACACGCCGATGACAAATCGTGAAGGGGGAAGATCATAATTGTCTCTTTTATTCATTAAAGCATCCAAAAACAAATCTGACAAAGGGTTGGTGAAATTGTTGACTAAGTTTTTGAATCTTGCTAGAAATAGATTCCCCTCATGCCATGAGCAACCTTCAACTCATGACTTTGGTATTGAAATTCCTTGCTGTTAACCACTTACTACCCTTGGAGACTTGTAAATAAATAACCATACAAAGCTAAACACGCATCATGGAAAAGGCTAAGGAATAGAGATACAATGCCGAACAAGGCACTTTTTTTTTAATATTTCTTCCTCGGGAAGACTTTTCGCATCCCATCTTCACTTCCATTCATCAAGAAATCCATGACTCTTCAAAAATACGAACCAAATGACTACAATCAGAAACCACAACTAAATATTTGTTATTATTAGGAGAGCAGTACCATTGAAGTATTTCAGGAAAGATGAAAATTTTAAGGCCGCCAGTGGCAGCAGCCATCGACCACCCGCGACAGAGTACGAAGAGACGCAGATAACATCCATTAATATCTAATCTCATACTCAAGATGTATATGACTCAGTGTAAGGGGTGTGTTGAAGATCATACATCAACTAGAGGTTAGATAGATGCATGGTATATAAGTGACTGAATCTCACTTTACAATACGGTTTATTAAGGTTGAATTCAGCTTAAAATTCACTTCTTAAAAATAATTTAGTCACATTTCCAACTATTTTTTTTTTCAGTTCCTAGATGGTATTTAACCTTTGAAAAAATAATGTTACGTGACACAACAGCAAAAAATTAAGTTGAGTACAAGCATCTTTGACTAGTGTTGATACATCAACTAGAGGTTAGATAGATGCATAGTATATAAGTGACTGCAAATCTCACTTTACAATACGGTTTATTAAGGTTGAATTCAGCTTAAAATTCACTTCTTAAAAATAATTTAGTCACATTTCCAACCATTTTTTTTTTCAGTTCCTAGATGGTATTTAACCTTTGAAAAAATAATGTTACGTGACACAACAGCCAAAAATTAAGTTGAGTACAAGCATCTTTGACTAGTGTTGATTTGATAAATTTCAATGGCTATGCCAGGTCCTTCCTTGCATAAAAACAGTCTTTCTGTATAATTTTGATAAAAAGAATGAGCTTACATGTTGTTCTGATAACAAGACTTCCATGTTCTTTGAATTTTTAACTTGGAATTGTTTGATAGGTCCTAGCCATTTGTTGTTATTTTTATGTTCCCCTTATTTCGAATGTAGTACGATCAATTAAGATGTATTGATTTTGTCTTTGAATAAAATATTATGTGCTTGCTCTTACTTTTTATTGTACCCAACCCAGCTACCAATCCCTTTCCAATAACTAAATTGTTGTATTTCTTTATTTACAGGACATGACAACCTTCGTCTGTGTTTGTATTCCCGAATTCCTTTCTCTATATGAAACAGAAAGACTGGTTCAGGAACTTGCAAAGTTTGAAATTGACACCCACAATATCATCATTAATCAAGTAATCTTTGATGACGAAGGTAACATTCCTACATGTCCTTTATAACTTACATTATTGTTTTTTAATTTCTTTTCCAAATCGTATTATTTTCTTCCAATCCTATCACCCTTGTATTGTAGATGTTGAATCCAAGTTACTTAAGGCAAGAATGAAAATGCAAAAGAGATATCTGGATCAGTTTTACATGTTGTATGATGACTTCAATATTACCAAGCTTCCATTGCTCCCAGAAGAGGTTAGTTGTTGCATTCTTGATACTCAGCAGATTCATACACGTGTAAAAAATCCTGTATTTACTTTTTAAACCGCTGAAATTGTGAGTAGTTTGCTTTCATTTCCTGCTCGATTGTATCATTATACTTAAATCAACGATCACAAATTAATAGGTTACTGGGGTTGAAGCTCTGAAAGCGTTTTCTAGACATTTTACATCACCATATCAATCCTTAGCTAGTGGAGGAGACCATGTAGAACGGTTACAGCGCAAATTAGCAGCCCTACAACGACAGATACATGAGACTGAGGAAGAATTGGAGAGAATCAGAAGGGGCATCTAGGCTTGACGGTCTCTATCCATGAATAATGTCATTATTGTACGCCTTTTTGTTTAACATTATTTTTTAGCTTACATTTGATAAAGCATCTTTTTCTTAGTTGGCCCGCCAACACAAGTCATTCTCTATATGCTTTCATTTTAAGGTCATAGTGAGCTTTCTTATGTAACTCCAAAAGGTTATTACTGAGGTTAGTCTAATTTGTTTCATGAATATTCTTTACTTGTCTTGTATTTTTATAATTCATATTCTGAGATGGATAATTTCTTATCAATATTCTTCTTTGTTTTGTTTAAACTTTCCTATTAATGATGTGCTTGTTAAAATGTTCAATAAACTGTCCATGATGAAAAACCTTTATGCTTTGGTTAGATAATAAGACGATGATACGATGAAAAGTGAGAGGTAAAAAATGGAAAGAAAAGAAGACTTTCAAGTTTTGATAATTTTAGATGTTTTAAATTAAGTTCATATGAAAAGTTTCATTTTATTCAGTATTTAAAATTTTATATTTTTTAATTGGGTTTTTGTTATCCAATGTTGGTGTTAATTAACACGACTGAAGTAAATAGTTTGCGTTGTCCTTCTTTATATGATGAAAAACAAAATAAAAGCTTAAATTTTAAATTTATTAAATATTTAAATTCCCATATTCTTTTAGTTAAATCTCTATAGTTAACTGAAATTTAAAATTTAATACTCAAATTGAAAATGTTCAAATTTATTAGTACTCAAAACTTAATTAAATCGTAAAAAAATTAAAAATAAGTTTAAATATTATAATATTACTTGTTTGTTTTTTATTTTTTATATATTAGTTTAAGAAAAATTATATTTGAAATAAAAATTTAAGACTAAACTTTATAATTGATTATGCGCTTTCTATAATTCATTCTGTAATTTTTATTTTTAATTATGTGATTATTTAAAATGCCAAAAGAGAAAACAGATAAAATATTATATAGTTATTTTTAGCATATTTACATAATTTTCTTATTTTCGTGGGCAAAGTATGAGGTTTTCTTTTTTCGTTTTGTATATTTATTTTTTCACATGTATAAATAAAACTACTTTTCTTTTCATAAGTCATATTTAAAGAAAAAGTTATTAATCATTTATTAGCGTAGCGTACTTGAGTTTAGAGACTATAATGGAGCGGAAGTAGGTTTCACTTTCTTCGTTTCTATTGTAAAACTTTTTGTTTTATCATTATCAAAGTTAAAGAATGGGTACAAATCTTTTACCATTTCAAATATTAATTAATGTTTTTATCAAAAATAAAAATTACAATAAATAAAACAGAACATTATTAAATATTTAATATTAAAATAAAAGATATTTTTAATATTAAATATTAATAAAAATTAAAATTATATAAAACTTTAATGGTAGTCTTTATTTATGTTATGTTTTCTCAAATAGGTTTTTTTCTCATTTTTTTTAATTAGATTATTAAAAGTAAAAATTTGAAGCAATTGATTCTCTATCGTTAAATTGGTTACTAGGTTAACTTTCAAGTGACTTGTTGGTGTAAGGTGGAATAATTTAATAATGTGACATATGAATAGTTTCTTAGGTGAAAAATGTTTAATTAAAAAATCAAGAAAAATGATTTTCTGAAATCTAAAATCAATATTTGATGAAATTAAGGTTGATGAAAGGGAACGAGAGTGTTGGACATTGGAGACACAACAAATCACAAAATGTAGAGTGTTCATTACTAGAGAAATTTTTGTGCAATTAGGGCATTGGTGGTTGCAATCCAACATTGTTCATTGGAATTGCGAGCTTAGATGTGAAGCACGAAATCGTTCGACATGTATCTCAAAGTAGCTGAGTGGAAGTGTGTACATAATTAGTATATGTAGTATTTGGAGTTTGAATTTATTACTCGGTGCCTTTTGTAGTGATCTGCTAATGCTTTTTTGAATGTGGGATTAGGGTTGTCCGACTATGTTATGTATGCTTATTTCGGTATGGTATCCCTTGTCCTCCATAGTTAAAGTTGCTATGTTGTGTCATTTTCAATGTGTATTGGTTTTAATATATGGTGTTTTCTATCCTTATATGGTAATTTATAGGTCTAGAATTTTGTTCATTATTTTTTTTGTGATGGAGATGATATAGAGGTGGTTATTCACCATGGGGTAAGTTTAAGAATGAAGGGTGCCTCAAGTATGAAGGAGAAATTGATACTTTAGCTTTTGACCCAGACCTATGGAGTTACTTTGTTGTAGTCAGTGTAGTCAAAAAGACTTGAATATGATGGATTCAAAGATTTGTAGTACTCTGTAGGATATGGTTTTGTGTTCGATGACATCCTATAACCTTTGTGTGATGACATTAGATTCATGCATATGGTGAACTTACCTAGGTTAAGTGATGAGGTTCATTTATTTGTTGTGCACAATGTGTTTGAACCTCAGGTCATACACATGATTGAATATGATGTTGATGAAAAACGTGAGGAAGTTGCACTAGTATTGCATGAGGATGGTGAGGGTTTAGTATTGCATGAAGGTGGTGAGGGTATAATTGGCAGTCCAATGTTTCATGAGGGTGGTGAGGGTATAGTTGACAGTGAAAGACAGGGAAATGGTGGTGTAAGTGAACAATTGGGTGAGAGAAGAGAAAAAGATGTTGGTGAAGGGGTATATGGTACTCAATCTAAGAAAGATGGTGGTGTAACTCAAGAGTTGGGTTAGAGGAGAGAAGTATAACATATGAGTTGGAAGACTTATGTGACATAGAGGTAGAAGTTCATGAATATCAACCTACAATATTGGTAGAGGAGGAAGGTATTGTTGGTGATTAGAGTACATCCGATGATGATGATAATGGTGAGGTGAATAGTATGGAGCGATTAGTTAACATAAATGTTGATTGTGACTTCAAAGAATGAGATTGCTCTAGTAATATTCATGTACAAGTTAAATCTGTTTCACATGAAAATGAAAGGTCAAATTGGAGTGATATGTCTGACTTGGATTTGGATAATGATGATATAAGTGATAACGATTTCTTCAATGATGAATGAGAATTTGAAGACTTAATTACTCCAAACAATAATGATGAAGAAAGTATTAGGGAAGGGGGTTATGACAAATTCATTATGTATGCCTAATACTATGGTTGATTTCAAATGAGAAGTTGGAACATATTTTGGTGACAAACAAGCATCTTGGATGCAATCAAAACGTATGCACTAAAGAATGGAAGAATAAGGCTGAAATGTGTGGGAGGAAAAAGACAATTTCCTTGGATGACATACTATGGTTATATGGAGGCAATGCATACATGACAATTGAGGACTATTGTGGATACCCACACATGTAGTAGAGAGCACAACCTTTGCTGACTCAATGTCAAATAGTTAAGTTAAAAAATGGAAAAAACAGTGAGAGAAAATCCTAATGTTAAGGGAGTTGATATTAGGGAGAAAATGAGTAGAAAATGGAACATAAGAATATCTAAGTGTATGGATTACCGGACGAAAGCCTTGCTTCAAACGAAGTGGATGGGTCATTCACTATGCAAGATAAGAGAATTTATGATTATGCACATGACCTCTTAATAAGAAATTCAAGGTCAATTATCAAGGTCAAAGTTGAAGAGAATGATGGAAAACCAATTTTCAAGAGGTTCTACGCATGCCTGAAGGCATGCAAAGATAACTTTGTGTCATGCAAGCCAATAATTGGCCTTGATAGAGCTTTTTTGAAAGGCAAACATGGTGGAGAATTATTAACTATTGTTGGTTGAGATGTGAATGATCAAATGTTGCCACTTGCATATATCGTGGTATAGGTGGAGAACAGAACACTTGGACATGGTTTATTGATCTTCTCATTGAAGACCTTAGTAGACTTGAAATTTGTTCTTCAATTACATTTATATTATATCAGATCATGAAAAGGTAAATTCCATTTTATTTCAAAATGTTTTACTTCAAATGCATAGTATGAAAACCAAAATCATTTAACTTAATGTTGAATCTGACAGGGATTATTACAAGCTATACAAGATTTGCTTCCTAAAGTTGCACAGAGATGTTGTGTAAGGCACTTGTATGCCAATTTCAGGAAGAAATTCCCTGGAAAAAATCTAAAATGTCTAATGTGGAGGGCAACTACAGCAACCCACCCAAAAATTAGGAGAAGGATATGAGAAGTATAAAAGAGGTCAACCAAGACGCGTTTAGACACTTGATAGTTATTCTCCAAGGTTTACATGGTTGACTTAACTTTTCCTTTAGGTTGTCATTAATGTACATACTGATACTATTTCTTTTATTGGTCAAGATCAAGGTTCACAAGGACACCTCAATGTGATACCTTGGTTAATAACATGTAGAAGCCTTTAATAGTGTATTGGTTCATAACCTCGATGTGATACCTTAGTTAATAACATGTAGAAGCCTTTAATAGAGTATTGGTTCATACGAGGACAAAACCCATCATTACGATGTTGAAGGACATCTAAGTTTACATGATGAAGAGATGAACCACTAACAGGTCAATGATAGGTTCATTTAAATCATCAATTTTTCCAAAAGTCATTAGTAGACTACGAAAGGAGGCACAATTAATAGAATATTGGATTCTCAGGTACTCATCAATTCTGATAAATGTTTTAGTTTGTTCCTAATTGGCATTACATTACTAATTTTTTGTTGTGTTGACAGCTCATCTGCAAAAAAGCTATTTAAAGTTTGACATGTGTCATAAAGTGGAGACAAGTTTGTGGCCAACATAGATGAATATGCATGCTCGTGCACAAAATGGAGCATCACTGGAATATTGTGTTGTCATGCACTGGAAACAATGAAGTTTATAAACATAGATGGAGAAGACTACATACCTTTTTGCTTTCGAAAGTCAACCTATTGAGAAATTTACTCTTCCATTATCTATCCTATTAATCGGAACAACCTGTGGGAGGTCACCCAATATCCATATGTCATGCCTCCATCAAAAAGAAAGTTTCCAGGTAGACCAAAGAAGAAGAGGAGGTTAGAGTAGTGGAAGATGAGAAATGATTCAACAAGAATGATAAAAGGTAGATTACTGAAAAGACGTAACCTATGTAGGGAAGTGTGCCACAACAGAACACGTTGTCTCAAAATAACTAAACAACTTGTAATGCAGCCAGACTAAGATCAATAATAGAACACACTGTCTTAAGGTGAACCACATGTGGAAGAAGGTCAACCATAGTAAGAGATGATTAATGAACAATGGAATACATGAAAGCACATGTAATGGAAGACTATATTAGTGAACAATGTTTTTCATTAC